GTTTAACATAACCGCAAATGTACAACGTTTCGACATCATCAGGTACATTTGCTGTTATGTTAAACTTATATTAAAGTTTTTCTTCATTACCCATTCAAGCCGTCTCCTACCATTATTAACTTAAAATACATTTACTGAGTTTCTCCTAACAAGATTATTAATACTTTATGTATAATTTTACTTAATTTTTCTTGTATGTTTAAGTGCTTAGCTTCCATTGTGTAGACGGTCGTAACCCATTTACAGTTAGATTTCAAAGTCATAAAATATACTTTATTATTTTTGCTTGGTAATGTATAAGCACGTTAAAATCATGCATCAGTGTATATATAATACCTTATTAACATTAATACTTTTTTGTCAGTAGTGAAATATCCTAGTAATTTAATTACATAGTTATGGTTTTTATATAAAGCTATCGCAGTAGAATTTTAAGAAGATGTGATATGTTTTTCATAAAAATTAGATATTGGTACAGTTAATGGACAACTGTTTTTATGAAATGTATATAACATTTTAACTTTAGTAGTAAGCACAGTTTTGTATAACTAGAGCTATACTGGAGCCATACACATCCCTTTTTCCATTCAAGACTGACCAGTTTGATATTCATTTCAAATCAGAAGGACACATATTCAGGGCTAAAAATTAATGAACAAGAAGAAATTATTCAGTTTAAATTTTAATTTTCCTGCTTTATCTTTTATTTACTTTAGCAATTTTTAGCAGTGGTATCACCTATAGTTCACAGCAAATTCACACTATTATTAGAACTTGCAAAATGGATCTTTGATCCCTCTCTCAAATTTTCTGGAACAAATTTTTAAAAATAGAATCCATAATAAACAATATGGGTGTAACTGTTTTTAATGTATCAGCCCTAGGAATAACCAGTCTAAATACGAGATAGACTGGTATTCCTGGTGTAATTATATGTATATAAATGTAAAATTTCTGGGCTGTTTATCCAGTCTAAATGTATGATGAAACCAAAACAACTATTTGATAGTTTTATTTCTGTCATACCTAGGGAAAAAAGCAGTGGAGTTTAGTCATTTTGTCCAAACATGGCTGTTCATCTTGTATCAATAAAAGTTTGTTAAAAAATAAGTTCAAATCCCAATGAAGAATAATCGTGTTGTATAGAAAGTCTTATAAATACAAAACTAAATAATTCTACATTTTAACTTAGTTGCTAATTGAGTGATGCATATGTTTGTTTCTATGAGGCTTAAGATAAACAGGCAGGCTACCGATCTTGTAAAAATTTCAGTGACAATAGATATCTAACAATTGGAAAGAAAAATAACAGGTAACACTTAAATTTTTAATAATTAGATACAAGTTTGATTTTGCATAGTCACACCCATCTAAACCATGACAATATTGGATATTTTAAGAAGTATTCAAAAAATCGTCACTAAGATTGTATGAATAAAAAACTTAATGTTATTTAAATGTCCTTGAAAGTCTTAAATTAGATTTCTGCTACAGAAAGGAACAGGTGCCTTCATAAAGATATATCAATTTTTTTCCAACAAAAAATAAAACAAGTTATATGACATTGCCTGTTGATAATACATGAATATCTTGATCTCTTGATAATATATGCAAAAGTCTGAAAATTTACTTAGAGAAGTAGATGTGAAATACATAAGCCTTGAAATTGTATATTGAACACACAATGATTTTGAATACAACTTGTATTAAGGTGGCATATATTAATATTACCACATGCTACTTGTTAATGCTATGTTTACACCAGTGCTGCAGAAGTATTGCACACAATGTGCCCCAAAATATTTTGCTGTTAGATGGAAATTTTCCTCAAAAATGAAACTATTTATAAAAAAAACAAGTGGGGAATTAATAATTTGTTATCAATTAACATATATTTAGTTTAATACACAAAGAAAAATGTTATAACATTCACTTGTGTGCAACTCCTGAGGAGTCTCTCATGTAAACAAAGCCTTTATCGAATTTTTTGTTGAGAAATTTTATACCCATCTTGAAGTTTAGGTTTATATTTGCAAAAGGAACTATCATCTTGTGGAAATATAATGCTTCATGTCTTGTTTCTCAGGTGGTTTGTCTTCTCTCTCTCTAAGTTGTTTTTTTACTCCAGCCCTTGTTCTCACTATTTTGTTATTTTACAGGATGTAATCTGAACAATTACTGTTAAGCTCTGCTTTGAAAATAGCTACACCTAATGGCTAAAGAACATTTGTATAGAGCATGTTATCTATCTACATCATCATAGAGCAAAAGATGTAGTTTGAGTAGTAATTTGTGGTTTCTCAAGAAATTGCTTAACTGAAGCTCCTGGAAAGGTGAACAAAGAAGTCAAATGAGTGTCTTACACCACTTAGGAACTAAACACACATCTAGGATTGTTTTATAGTATCTTTAGACATTCTTTTTATTCCTGAAAATGTTTTCATTAAGTTTTACACATTTTTAGGACACAACTTGAGGTAAGCTTTGTTAGGTTTAGCAATTACAGTAAACAATTGTGAAATATTCCATTGACTTTTTATTGAAAATAAACTTTCTATTCGATATAAACTGGTATTGATTAAGAACATTATTGGCAAAAATCATAACTAGCATGAGAAAGGTTGAGATGAGGCCATTTACATAAATCACTGAGAAATCTGTTAGTTTTTGCTGTATGTATTATGATTAATAGCCCAAAGTGTTGACTTCTTCAATAAACAAAATTAATTGTAAAAAGATTTCTTTAATAGTATTGATTAAATTGAAATTCTAAGACCAAAGGAACTATTTTCAGTGTTTTTCTCAGAATGGTTTCTAAACAAAATCTGGTATGTTTGTGCTGAGTTTCACATAATTTGCTTAGGTATTTCCACTGTAAATAGGAATAGAATCTCCCATCCAAGATCTGAAGATGCTGGCATGGCCTGATGGTTAGGATGCAAGTTGACCATCTGAGGGTCATGGGTTCGAATCCCCTTCACTGAACATGCTTGCCCCCTTTCAGTCATAGGAGTGTTATAATATGATAGTCAATACCACTATTCGTTGATAAAAGAGCAGCCCAAGAGTAGGTGATGGGTGCTGTTGACTAGCTGCCTTCCCTCCAGTCTATCACTGCTAAATTAGGGATGGCTAGCACAGATAACCCTTGTTTAGCTTTGCATGCAATTCAAACCAAGATCTGGAAAGGTCTAAAATATGAAGTAAAGCTTGTATCTCATACCCCCAGAAATTAACAACCAAAGATCAAGCTCATGCCAAGCAGACATGCAGAAATGGGCTGCTGTAATACTTTTCTTTTGATAAGTTGTACAGTGGGATTTCTAAAAAATTCTCTTTCTTATAGCAATGATTGTACAGTAAATGTTTCATATGAACTTGTTAATATAGATTAGTGTGTTGTATAGATTATACTTTATCATATCTTTAACTTTTTGTTATTATTTTTATGATGGATTATAATTGGATATAAGTTTGATTTTTACACACATGAACACTTTTAACGTAAGCAGAACAATACTAGCTCCAGATTTGTATGTATGGAACTTAAAAAAGCCTGAACAGTTTTTGGTTATAATGAATTTGAAAATACTTCACTTATGTGGTTTGTAATTATAAGTAGCTATTAATGAGATACAATTCAAAGAGTACAAAGAAAACATAGTTATAGAAACCTTAGTTAATTCATTATAAGATAAAATTGTGTATGTTACAGATGCAGCTGTTACATGGTGCATGAATTTAGTTTTTAACTATCATATTCAAAATGTTTAGGATTATTTTCTTTCTTAAAAAATGGAACAAAACTAAAAGGTGGACTATAGACCAGTTGATATGATTTACAATTTCCAAATTTGCTTAGATTGTGTAAGATATTGTACGAAAGTCAATTAATGTAGTTAAGTGTATTTTGCATAGTGTAAGCCTTTTAAATAATCTCATAATGTAACAAACATGCAATTTAATACTTTAATGAAATTCATGTATTCAGAGTGCTGCTGTGATTCATACTGCTATTTTCTTGTCTGATAGTGTCTTGCTACAACTGTGGAAAAACTGGCCACATTGCTCGAGAGTGTAGGGAGCAGGAAAAGACTTGCTACATCTGTAGAACTCAAGGTCATATCTCACGGGACTGTGAGCAAGATGACCGAAAGGTAAATGTGAGTTTCATTTTAATTTTTTTCTTTGTTAGTTTAAAAGTTTAGTAAAGAAGTTTCTTATCACCAAATGTGTCCAATGGTCTGACCCTGTTTTGCAAAAGAAATGTTAACTATAATTCCAAATTTACTAAATATCTACATGAAATATGGCAGGCTTTGAGTAAAATATACAGGTTTGTTGAACATAAAAATTCAGGTGTGTGTTACGAAAGTATTTGTACTCTGTGTATGGGAATTGACAATGTCAGTCTGCATCAGACTGACTAGTCAGAGTACAAGGTGATGTTCATGTAAAGAATAAAAATACTTTTGCCCATATTACAGTTTGTATATTGTACTTGCATTTATATATATATTTTTTTTTTAAGTATTCCTGTATATTGTATGTTATTTAACTCTACCACAAACATTTGCTAAATCAGCAGTGTAGGGTAAAATGAATGTGTGATAACTGACTTAAAATAGATGGCATATTGAATGGCTTCTGTAAAGGCATGGCATGTGCACTTTGACCCCCACCAATGCACATAGGGTTAATTTGAAGCAAATGCTTGCTTCTGTTCATAGTGTTTTTAAGTTTTTTTTCAGTTTTACTGCAAAGGTTTGGGCCAACTTGAAGTGAGGACAGCCATTAACAATTGCTCTTAATGTAAATCCACTTTAAGAAATGCCAAGTCCTTGCTGCTTGCTTTAGTACAACTTGTAGTTACTAACAAAGTGTAATATTTTGAAATCCTGTCTAACCCAGTAGAGTGGACTGAAATAAAATAAAAATCAAACTACTGTAACAATTTTTACTCCTGAAAAATCATAAATTATTTTTGCATGTAGTGATAACAAAATCATGTAGTTATAAAAACTGTTTGCTAGTAATTGACCAAATTTCAGTAAGTCAAAGTTTAATGTGACTGATAAAGGGGTATGTAAATGGGGAGATTATTAACCAGTGTACCTTCTTGCATTTGAGTTGCTGCAAAGAAAGAAAGGCATGAGTAAAAGAAAAAATATTTTCAGGAATTTTGTATATATATGAATAATCCACTGTTGTGGATGTTATTTGAAATTAAGTGAATTTTCACTCGGGGGGGGGGGGTCATGAGAAAAATGGTCGTGCTTTAACACTCAGCACGAACTTGGTCATTTTTTCTAATGTTGTAACCACCATGAACTGCATGCTATAACTAACTTTTAATATGATAAGTGTAAGTTCATGATATTTGGCTTTTTTGGTAAACATAAGTTGTTTTTTTTTATATATATAAAAGTCAGATTTTCTTAATTAAGTATTTTTACTAAAGAGTTGCCTGAATTTGTTATGGGAGTCTGACTTATTGTTTTTTTCACACTAAAATTATATTTTATATCTCTCTTTAACTCTCACTATGGGCTCGGTCTCGGGGACCGACCTCGTAACCATTTTGTGCTTGTTATAGTTTTCATACAATAACTATTAATACAGTATGCATATCTTCATCAAATTTTGCAGATTATCAGTAAACATTATTTAGGCTTTTTTATACAAAATGTCAATTTTTTTTTACTAAGTTTTAAGAGTTTTTAAGTAATGATTTGCTCATGCATTTTTCTCTTCTAATGTTGACTATCCAACATGCAAAGTAATTTTGATTTTAAGATTTAAAATACTTTTATGTATTGGAAATTTGTCAAATTTCACGTTTGAAATCTCTATAACCTCCAGGTAATTATCAAATGCTCTTTTTTAGAAAAACTATTTTATCTGTTCTTTTCATTATTGTATGTCTGTATAGGTTTGGTCAATTTGATCAACCTCGTAACCCCCATAAAATATTAGGAAATAGATATAAATTATGCTTTTTTTTGTTCTAGAATGACTGTAAATTATAACACAACCACAGATGTTTAGTCTAAATAGCTTAAATCTCATAACATTATACATCTATATATATTTATTATTTTTATTTTATTGAACTTTCAGCTTGTCTGACTAACATTACAAAAGTTGCAATGACATGGTGCATGTGTAATGTTACTGTACCCAATAGTATAAAACTGACCTTTACCTATCTAGGCTTTGTTCCAGTGGACCAGTATTTTGTTAAATACAATCAGATTTTGGTTATAATACATTACACAAACACGCACACATTATTATTACTATTTACAAATAAGTTCTTAAATTTTAGTTGTTTTTTAAAACATAGAACAGTAAATAAAGAAGTATAGAAAACAATGAACTTTATATGTGTTGCTTGCTGTAATTTGCTAAGCCTTGGCAAATTTTTCACGTGGAGGATGTAAAACAAAATATTTTTAATTTTATAGGTTTCCTATATGCATTTTGAAATTAAAAAATTTTAAATTACTATATCAATACCACAGAATTGCACTATACTTTATCAGGCTTAGTAACTGAGCTGTATTTGGGTCTAAAAAATGATATTTCGAGCTCCATCTTCTACATTTCCGTTTCGATTCTACCATGAAAAGGAAGGTTTTCCCATGTAAACACTGCAGAGGATGAGAAAAACATATGGGGGACATTCTGTGCTTGCAATTGGGTATACACACATCAGAGAGCAAAGTAGGTGTACATAAGCATTTCCAAAAATGGAAGAGGTGGGTGCTGCCTCCTTGGTTGATTCTCTAAGTATAATAATATCTCAGAAAATAGAAAAGATAGGATGTTCTTATTTTATATTCTAGCTTGCAATATCCATAATTTGAGTTTCTAATTTGAAAAAAACATACCACATGACACACAAGTTGATATTTAGATTTTTTTGTATATTTACTTTTAAATTAACTAATGTATAGTACTAAAATTTGAAGTACAATCTACAGTTTGATACCAAACTTATTGACATGCATTAATTATTGGTTGGTCGAGCTGAACTTGTGTATAGCAACTTTGAATCTGAAGATCAATTATTTCAAAAGTGTGTTATAAGAATGAGCTAACCTTATACATAAATCAGTTAATTAGAATCTCTTTCTATTAAAAGAAAATATGTAATAGGAGGGTGTGGGTTGGACTTTCTTGTTTCTATGCAAGTAAAACTAATTGGAAGTTACAAAATCAGATCGTCTTAGCATTATCTATACTCTTAAGTTCATAATTTGTATTAAAACGCGATCTCAAATAGTGGTGGAAAGAATATTGAAAATGTGAAATTTGGAGTGAACAAGCATCACATAATACAGAAGTGAAGATTGAGAAATCATTTAATTTTTTTAATGGAGAAATTGAAACTTATAATATTAAACTTGATTTATTAGCTATTTTTTATGTAAAGTTGGTTAACATACATTGATAATAAAGTAGTTTAATTAAATTTTGAAAGTAACTGAAAAACAGTCATGGCATGCTCTCTTTTACTTTCTCGTATCCAGAGGGCTAAAGGTGGCTCAGGTTAGAAAATGTTGAGAGCTGTTAAACTAATATATGTTTGTTTTTTTACATTTAATGTGTTGCTTTAGATCAAGAGAGAGAGAAACTATTCACAGTTGTCTTCACACTTAGGCTGTTGGGCTTCCTCATCGTGCAGTTTTTATTGTTGTATGTAAATGCTGATACACAAGGTTAGAATGTATCATTTGCTGTGTTATAAGTTGCTGAGTAAAATTTGAGTATAAGGAATTTTATTAATGTTCAAAAGGTATAAAAACTTGTACAGTTTTAGAAACACTAGAAGTTCTTTTCAGAAAGTACATAAAAAAATGATTTGTAAGAAACTGAAGTGTGGATCAAATTACCTGAAATGTGAGTTATCTGCAGACAGTGTTAAAAATTCTTTTTTTGTTGGCAGTTATTGATTAGTAATTATAGAATGGTTATTCTTCTGTTTACTAGATTTCAAATGTAGCATTTTTTCTAAGATAGAAGAAATAGCTTACATAGTTATACGTGTATATAAATTAACCAAAAGGTGGAAGGACACTTGCTTGTTGTCCATAAATATTAAAAGAAATGTGTGTGCGTGTGTAATTTTATACAATTACTAACTATGATCTGTTTTATCCTTTATGATTTTTCTCATAAAGTATATTTCTATGTTCATAATTGAATTTATTTATAGGAGTGTTATGTTTGATCTAAAGAACAGTGCCTGAAAACAATTGTTCGAGATATTTTCTTTCATGGTTCTTTTAAATCAAATAAAAAGTTAATTAACTGGTTAGTGAACTTGTCAGTCTGGTGTTATTTGGCACTGATTAAAAATTGTTTGAGTTGTGTTTATTAATCTGTATCCTAGTGTTATGTCTGTGGGAAGAATGGACACATTTCTCGGGACTGTCCAGAGGGAGAAAAGGATGATCGAAAATGTTACAACTGTGGAGAGACTGGACACATCAGTCGGGATTGTCCAGAATCTGGGGATGGTGGTGAGGCTGATGACACCGTCTGCTACCGGTGAGTAGAGCCTCCTACTCACTTGCTTGTTCCAAAGCTAATCATCTTGGAGAATAGGAAATTTCTGTGATTGCTACTTTTGGAAGAAAACTTGGTCATGATGTTTGGACATTTTATTATATATTCATCTCTTGGTTTAATTTCATAGAACTTGTAATTGTTTAATAATTTTTCTAATGTATGGTAACTTCTGGTCACAAGGTATAGATCATTCCTTAGTGTATTTGTTAAGCCAAAATAAATTGTTATTCTAAAAGATTATTTTCTCTCTAGAGTGAATGTTTTAGATTTTCCTTGTTCTTATCATTAGGTTACTTGTTTTGCTATCAAGTTAGATAACTGTTCTCTTGCTCTTTAATAAGTTATTTTATTTATTTATGTTATTGACAAGATTCAGTTATTGGATATCTTTTGCTAGAAACTGTTTTTATGCTATTATAAAAAATTTGTAGTATATGTACCTTCAAGCTGAATTCTCATCAAAGAAAACTAGGTGCAGCAAACACACACACACACAGTAGTTTTAGAGTTTAAATGTGTTTATTACTAATGTTTTGTGTGATTAATAGAACATTGATTGACTTTTTAATGTTGAAATAAATGAACTACACCTTACATTATAACTTCAAAAACTGTGTTTATTAGAATTTTGTTATCTGTAATGGACAAAATTTATAGGTTGCAAAACTGTTTCTCTGACTCATAACCAAAAGAACCAGCTGAATGGGTGAAGGCGAGCTTTAAAATGCTTTGAAAAAAAGTAAAATTTAAGATTGTCATGTATACTTTCAAATATTTGGTAGTTACTTGACCTTAAATTAATACCATGTGCTGTGAAAAGTATTATACTCAACATTTTTTTAGTGAATGTTCCAGTGTATCACATTCTCAGAAATTTCCTTTGAACACCAAGCACTGAATCCTTGTAATTTTTTGTAGTCTTTAATTTTCAATCTCTACCATAAAAGGACATCATATATTTGTTTGGCTATTTTTGTAACTCCTCAAGATGCTTTTAATACATCAGTCAGCATTGTTTGAAATGCTTCTTGGGACACATCCTCAAGCAACAATGCATAGACACACACAGGTAAGACAAACAGTAAATAGATGTACAGTTCAAATGACCTGGTTTGTAACAGGCAGTGTTACAAAGTTGTACAGTTACGGTGACATTTAGCATAAATTATAATGTTGTAAGACCTCCAAGTGGTTGAATAGAAATTCTTGCCCTGGAAATTCTGCTTGTTGTTCTTGCATATTAATGGAGGGGTTATATATTACCTGTATTTTATTTACACACACACACACACAGAGAAAACTTAATTTCTTGTTTAATTGTGGAACCCTCTAATTTTATAACTTTCTGTACTTGATAAGGTAACAACATAACTCATGTATGTAGACAAACCACTGACATACTGAAAAATTAACTTTTAAAATATTAGTATTACCTCTTCTATTTTTATTTTTTCTTGGCAAATTTAATTTTCATAAATTGTTTAAAGCTATATATTGTTTATATATATATATATATATAATGTCTGTAGAAATATTCTTTGTATTTTATTGTTCCCATCAGAGCAGTAGAGTAGTAACAAAAAAAACCGATTCACAAATAATAATGTGACTTATATCATTCTTTGTCAAAGCAGTGACATACTCTTCTTTTTGTGGGAAGATTAAGTTGAATTATTTAAGTTATTTTAGTAGTTATAAGGTTCTTGTATGTCTATGTATTGTAAATAACCCATAAAATAAATATTCACACATCAAAATTTTAAAAATATGTATGTCATGACTCATTTCTATGATTAATTTGCTCTGAAGCTTCACAAGGATAGAGGATGTTTGTAAAGGATATATATGTATATAATATACAAAAATTGCTGCAATATGTTTAGAAATAACTTGTGAATGTACTGGTGTTCTGTTGTCTAACCCTGACATTGGGTGCTGCCACTTTTCTTAGTTAAAGATCTATAAATGAATGGCAAAAGAAGCTTTAAGGAAAATACTTCTTTACATTACTTAAAGAAAAATAAAAAAATGCACACATTAGAAAATTAAATATCTGGTTAATATGAAGTAAGTTTTAAAACTAATTTGAAGTAGCAGTTGGAGAATTTTTATTCCAAGAATCACAGGCAGTTTGATAGTCCTAAATAAAGAGTATAGCTAAATAACAGGTTTCTCGAAGTGTATTTTCTAATTATGAAATTGTTTTGATATTATGAATGAGGAAATAAGAAAAATTGAACAAGTTGAGGCTTTCAGCTTTGTTAGCACCTGGTGGCTCAGTGTTAAGTCTGAGGGCTTACAACTCAAAAATCGAGTTTTGATACTCCTAATAGGCATAGCACAGATAGTCCAATGTGTAGCTTTGTTAACATACTGAAATGCATGAAAATATTATTGGTGTTGGCAGCTCACTAAATTTTGTTTGTGGCTTTTGTTGTTAAAATGAAGTATTCTAAAATGTAGTAAAAATAGATGTTTATTAATTTCTAATTACTTAAAACTAAAAAATGCAATTGTGGCTGATGTTTCCCAGTTAGAACTGTCATTGTTGGTTACATTATGTTGTATAGTTGACATGGTTTCACTAGGGAAAATCTTGCATTACTGCTATATTACAATCTTCCTTGGGGCTACTGCTTATGTTTGTCAGGGTAAAATTGTGGATTTTCAGAAAGTATATGACAAGGTGCCATATAAAAGACTTGCCAAAGTTATATCTGTGGTGTAGGGGGATAAGTTAGCTTATAGAATAAAAAAATGATTGAAATATAAAAAAAAAAGAAACGTGGGGTTGTTATAAATGGAGTTCAGTCATACTGGATTAAGGTCATAAGTGGGGTACCTTGGGGCTTAAAGTTGGGACATTAGCTCTTTTGAATTACATCAGTGACATAAAAGAATGATCAACAAGTTGATTAAATTTGTTGATGGTATTACGGTCTTGGGTGTTGTTAGCTGTGAGGAGGATGCTGCTATATAAAAGGAATTGGATCATCTGGTGAGTTAGGGAAATATATGGCAGATTGATTTTACTTATAATAAATGCAAGGTAATGCATGTGGGTTTAACAGCACAATTTAAGTAGACTCTTTTGAATGATGTCAGTTTCCACTTGCTATTCTTGTATTCCTTCATATTGGAGAATGTTGTTTCAAAGACTAGACATATAAGCTGCATGGATCATTATTATTTAGATGTGTGGCAAATTGTAATGATAAATTGTGTACGTATTTTATATTTTAATTCGTCTTGATGGCTTCTAAATCAGATGGAATGTATTTTGAGACTAGTTAAGGCATTGCAAATACAGTACTTGGAAAAAATAGCTCTTATGCACAACAAAGACCTGTTATCACTTAGCATAAGTGAATGGATCCATATAACTCAATTGTTGATATTACATTAAAGTAGAAAGCAAGTGCATCAAAAGTAACATTAAAACTTACCAAAGTTGCTATTATGGGCTTCATAGAGAAAAGGTGTAACACATTGAAAAGTATAAGTAATACATTAAAGTTTAGTAAACCCATGATATGCTTTCTCCTGATCACCTTTAAGCATTGACATATTGATTTTAGTAATCTTTAACTTTTCTCTGAACCCTATGTTCTTTACAGTCAGCAGTTGAGTTCTTATTGAACAGACAAAAACATCAGATGTCTGTCTGTACAGAGACTTCATCTACACTTTCCCTCTTTGTTGATGTCCTCCAAAGATTTTTCTTTACTGATCTTGCAAGCTCTAATAATGATAAGACTACTTCTTCATCTTTCATCTTTTGCTTTCCATTTGTAAGACACGTACCTATTTGGTTTAAATGGTATCTTGCTGTTGTATCTTAGTTTTAAAGGTTGTGTCCAGACAGGATCTGTATCATAATAAAGGCCCAATGGTTTAAGACTAAAAGAAGAAATATATAGTAAGAGTATTTTCAAACAGTATGCATAATATCACAGAGAGAGGTACTAATCACCTTGTTTGAAAAATGAAGTATATAACAGTTGTTAATAATTTGCATTTGTTCTGTGTATACAATGGTATTTACAGTCAATACAGAAGGATTCTTGCCCAGATTTTATATAATAATCTAATGAGATATTTAACTTGTGTAGACACCAATTTACTCAAAGGGAAAGTTACATAATGATTTGGAAATGAAATTCTACAGAAATCACTTTCGAAAACTGCAGAAATTTCTTAGAATTTAATTCTTAAAAATCTTTGCAAAGTTACAGATTATAGAATATATATTTTAAATGTGGGGGGGTAAGCTGGTCAGTTTATTGTTGGTAAATGCTTTACATTTATTTATCAGGAGAAAATGAGTATCTTTCTCATTTTGGTGCAGTCTATTGAAGTTTTATAAACATTGTAGAATACAATTTAAAGTATTTTAGTTAAAATACAGTGTGTTAGATTCAGCCTAGGCCTTGTGCTGCCTGAATCAACACAAAATGTATATCTTGTGAGTAGCAGTGACTAATGAATATGATCATGCTATTTGTTTTTTGTAAGTTTTGATTTTAAAATGGTCATTTATAATATAATAAAAAATCACTATGAATGTTTTTACCATCTACTTTTGAAGTGGTCTGAGCACATACTAATATGTAGATAATATGAAGGTGTCATGTTGGTGTAATTGATCCATGCTAACCAGGTGTGTTTTCTTTCTTGCAGATATTTTATCTTTTCATCCTCTGTTTAGCTTTCCTTGGTCGATACACTCAGCTATGCCACAGAATAGCCCCATCATTCTTAGATTAGTTATGGGGTTCCTCGTGTTTCTTTACAGAGCTACTTCTGACAGTACTCCAATATAGTGGAACAGAAGTTTGATGGCATCATATGAAAAGGGCTTTTGTATTATAACTTTAACAGTTTTAAGAGACTGGTTAACCAGAACAATAAGACATCCAAGAAGTGTGCTGTTCCTAGTGGCAGGGTAAATAGGATCTTAGGTTATATCTAAAGAAAGGTTGAATGTATGTCGAAAGAGGTTATTTCATGCTACAGGTCACTGGTTAGGCCTGTTTGGAATATTGTATTCAGTCTTGGTCTATCTTATGAAGGACATCTAATTGTTGGAAAGGGTTCAAAGGAGTGTTACTTGAAATGGAAGGGTTGTCATACAAGGCAGCTTAAAATCTATGATATTGTTTTCTCATGAAAGAAGATGGTATTTAATTAAGATGTTTAAGGTTGTTAAGAGAATTGGTTGTGACAGTGTATCATCTTTTTTTGTACTCTGTGAGAATAGTAGGACTGGATGGATGACAAATTTTGGCAGGGTAGCAGTCATTTCAAATTATAAGTTTCTTTTTTTTTTGATAGTACGTTCATTATCTTTGCCATTTGAAGTATCTTTAGACCATGAAATATAAAATTAATTCCGAAAAGTTCATAGACTTGCATTTCTTTGTTTTTTCACTTTTCCTTTTTATTTTTTTTTAATACATTGTAAACAGTTGAATCTGTTTGACTGTTCAGATTAAATCTACATATGATTTAAACGTTTTTTGAAATCTATAAAATCATTCGTTTTAGTTAAGGATGTTTAGCCAGTTAAATAACTGAATGCAAGTAAACATAATTATGAGTAAACTGTCATGTTTAAAAACATTTCATAATTCCTTGCTTTTAATTTTTTATAAAAACCATTCCTTTCAAATACGGTCTTAGTTTGTTTCATTATTAATATTTATTTATTGGTAATTTAGTGTTATATTTCCTAAAATAAAGACAACTTATTATCATTATTTTTCTGGGGGGCAAAATATAAAGTACAGTTTGTTTTGTATTATTAAGTTTTATTTGTGGGAGTTTGTGTATGATGTACAATAAATCCTAATATTTGCACTAGTCTTGTAATGTTAACAAGTTTAAAGTTAAAATAGAAGTAAACATACAAGTCCATTTTTAGAGTTGTGGATTGTATCTTGTATTTTAGTTAAATTATTTATAGCTGGTACTGCATTTTTACTATTTAAAACATAGTTAAGAGATTTGCATTCCGTACTGCAGGATGAATTTTTGTGTATGAGTCTTGAAATTAAAAACATTGGATATTGAATTGTAGATGATGTATTGTTCTGGAATTATAAATATAAAATGTTATGTTTTTAGCTACTTTTAAAAATCTGAGTTAAAAAAGCTAGGTATTGCCTTTAAATAACTAGAAGAAAATATCCCTGCTGTTATTCTTTCTATAAATTACTTTTGATCAAAACAAAAATATATATGGAAATACCTGCATTGTTAATACATATGTAAATGTTTTATTAAGCAAAAGTAAAATTCATCAAAAGACACAGACTAAATGTTTATATCTTGTATACCATCTCCTTGAAAGCATTAAAATTCCTTTTTGTTTCTGTACTAGTTGCAACGAAAAGGGCCACATCGCTCGTAATTGTCGCTCTGCTCGTACTGGCAATAAATGCTACCACTGTGGTGAATTTGGCCACATTGCCCGCAATTGTGAATTGAAGGCCTAACCTCTCCTGCCCACCCACGTCACAGCCTCTTGAATGTGTTGGTCGTTTGGCACAGGTGAGATCCAGCTCCTAGCACCCTAGCTGCAGTCTGGCCGAGACAAATTGGTCTTGTGCTGTGGACATCTTGAATTTTGATGTGGTGAGCTGTTCGTCATCTACATTCATATCTTTCTTCTGTTGAGGTGGTTGTTACGAATTCTCAGCAGGGGGCAGCAAATAAGAATATAGAAATCTTTTCCATTTTCAAGCTTTTAACATTTTGCTCTAATTCAAAATCTGTTTTGTGTATTAGATCAGAGTTCACTAGCTAATGCTGACAATTTTATTTATTCAAAGCTTCTTGCATTGTTAAAAGGAACAATAGTTTCTACTCTGACAACAAGCCAGAATGAAGCATTTGTAAAAAAAAAAAGAAGAAATTGGCTTGTTACTACTAGTCAGATTTTCAATATAGGAATGGATATAGCTGCCCCCATTGACCTCGTCACAGTGAAACTTTGAAGTTCAAGTGGAAGTGAAGGTTGTCGCCGTGGGAGAAGGAGGTTATACTGTTTCTTTAAATTGCCACTTGTGTAGTGTAAATCTTTGTAACTTACTGGGCCAAAGCTGTCCACTGGTAGTTTGTATAGCCTAACAAACTTTATTTTTGCTTTTATTTCACCTCCACTAGTTTTTCATTAGTGGCATTCTGCAGTTTCTTTTTTGTAAAACAGTGTAGAATTAATATTTGTCATATGAGTAGATACATACTTACTATGTCAAGAGCTATGTTCTTCAAAAATATTACTGTAGTCAAATTCTTAGATTAATCTAGAAATATGTTGTAATAAGTAATCATTGACATGTTGGAAATTGATTTTGGTTTCAAAAGGAGACTTTCAAAGGCAAGGTGAGTTGTGATATTGAGAAATTTTACTGTTGTGGTGGTGATGTTATGCTGAAAAGTGATCAGCTTTATTGTATCGAGTTGATACGATAATGACCCAAAAATATTTGAATCTGCTGTCTAATGATATGTAAGCATTTTTACTTTCAGTTTTCTTAGCTTATTACCATCCATTTTCACATATTAAACTTGAAAATTGGTGTAAAGTTAACTTTCTGTAATTATTTTGTGGTTAATTTCAATGAAATGATCAGTAAATGATAAAATTGAATTGTTAAACTACACAAGTGAATTCATTATTTTCATAACACATAATTTTAATGATTGTGAAGAAATATATGTCCAATCTGAATACAAAATAAGCTGTGAAAAAAAGTTAATGTTAGATAGAGTGTAAATTATTTTATATTTATACATACAATTGATGTTACAATGGTGGGAATGTAAGTACATTCTTCTTCAGCACATCTACTAGAAGTTTTATAAAATCTAGAGATGTGTACGAAATATGCTCACATTGGGCATGAGTAAATGTTTTTGAAGGTGTACAAAATAATGATAAAAGAACTATTAGCACATTAATTAATCTATTTAACACTGAGTTTTGTGAGAGACCAGTTGAGTAGTTGGTTATAGCTAACCAAAGCTGTCTTCTTGGTTTTGAGTTAAATGGCATATGATAAGGAACTAAAGTTCTCTAGAAATGAAGGTGGTTGGGGTGAAGATTGATACAATGTTTAGTACATGAACGATTTTCTGTAGAACTGTATGAGTGTGTTTGATCTGGCAGGAAGTAATTTTAGTTCTTGTGACTTAATTGTAACAGCTTCAGGTTTGTACTCTACTTTAGTATAAAGGATTACTCTGAAAATTTAAGAACTTTGTAAAAAAGTCTAAGTTTTCTAAATAAATGCTTTTATATATTCAAGTAAAATTCTCAAATTTAAAAAGGTTTGGACAAAACTTTATTGTTTAAATGACAAAATTATTGAAGGAATGAAATTTTGATTCTGATTATAATGTACCCCATTGTGGATTTCTCATGATATACATCTGAAATAGTTGAAAACATATGCATTATGTAGTTTTGTATATATATTATATATATAATACACACACAAAACATTAAATTTTCAAGAAATAAATATATCTGATAGTATTGTTTTGGAATATATGTTAGAATTATAATAACTATATATACATTTCTAATGACTTTGTTTTATAGGAGATTGGCATTAGTACTTGTTTGTATTGTAGAACTAAAGATTTTGTACTTTTTTTCAGGTTTTGTATTAAACCCTGAATTGAAGTAATTGTATTATAACATTAAGAAATAGTACCTTATGTTGTCTTATTCTTATGTTAAAGTATTTTCTTATCCCAAGAAAACTTAGTAATAAGATTTTAAATTTTATAGTTCTTACTTTACTCAGTGCTGGATTTAAAACTGATTTGGTTTCATTATTTTACTGCTGTATTAAAGTGCAGGATTAAAAGGAAATGAGAAAGCTACAAGGTTGTAAATGTTTTGTCATTAGAATTTTTTTTTTTTTTAAGTATATCAGCAATTCCATGTAATAGCTTTTGTGTTTGTTAGATGTTAAGTATATTTGGTGCTTCTCAGGTGATGGCTAAAGTTTTATCACGTTTCCAACCTAGATATGTTCTCTTAATGAGAATAAAGTTTTATGTTATAATCGCAGTTGTTATTGAATTTTTTTACTGTTTAAAAACAAATACGATATCAGCATGATGTATACACGTTTTATTGATATTGTTGAAATACAATTAATTTGTACTCCCAGTTAATGCAAGCTAAATATGAATTTGTTCATTTATCAATATCCGAGCTTATGTTTACATAAGTACACGATGAACATTTGTGTTGAAATCAGTATATTTTCCTTTGACATAAATTTAAATACAAAAGTAAATCAAAATGACTGCTTACATTAAGGATAGCAAGTGCAGGATATAAGCCTACAGTGCAAGTTATATAATGCATGCCCTTATAAAAGTTTTAACTAAAATCATGAATATCATTGCAATGGAAATATTGTATACGGTGTTCAACATCATCTTGCAGAAATCTACAAAATAGTTAGTTTATATTACACATCTGTCACTAATTATAACTTCTAAGTTTTATTCATCTTCTTTTTGTATGCAGTCGTTTTTAATATTAGATGATGTAGAATATAATTATTTTATCCCTCAACATTATCACAATCTCTAGGTCTGATTTTAGCTCTCATCCCATTTGTAGTTTTAAGAGCCTATCAGAGTGAACGAATTTCTTTTTCTTTTTTTTAGAAAGAGTGTTATTAAAACTTCATATATAGCCAGATATCCAAAACCAATTTCAACCATTAACATATCAGCTGGAAAAACTTCACCTCCTGTATCTCTCATTCTTTCATACTTTTCCTGAGCCCAGTCCCAAGAGTTTATTTTCTACATGACTATGTAACAAGTGAAAATCAAGATTCGTATGTAATGCATGCCATCTACAAGTAGAAAAATAACAAATGAACGGTGTCTACACAAAATGTGGCAAGCTCTTAGTAATATGTACAAGTCTGTTACACATAAATAAATCAGATGAGTTAGAGGTATTTGTACTTACTCAAGATATGTCTTTTAATTGACGACGTTGGAATGCAAAGTGATGTGTATGTGAAGCTTAAATATATATTCCAGTGTACGATTTACATAAGTTCTAGAACCTCAAATCCATTTCTACAAATTTTTTTCAGTATCCTTTATATTGTATCTAGTTGCTAAATCAGCAGTGTAGGGTAAAGTGAATAGTTAATAATTCGTAACATCAAATACATAATACCAAGTACAATGGCATTTTGTTAAAGGTCATTGCGCTTGTGCACTTTGAACTCTACCAGCACCCATAGAATTAAAGGAAGTCACATGAAAGAGATAAGCTTCAACTATATGTTGGGAGTCCAGTGGCTGAAACTAATTTTAGTATTATATAGTGGAAAATGACTTTGCATCAGCTTTTAACCATTACTGATAAATACTCAATCTCAGTAATGAAAAAAAAATTTAAGTGTTAATCAATCAGAGAATGAAATTGGAAATTTTATTTGGAATAACGTGCTTCCTTTTAAGTGTAAAATTTCATGCATATTGAAAATCAATAAAATAGATATCAGCAAATTTTAATGAAACAAAACATTTTCAGCTTTATCTTGACACCTTTCTCTAGAAGAGATGTTAGCATGTTAAAATTCGATCTCAGTGTTTTTGGAAATATAATTTGTAGTTACTATTCAAACTCTGTAATATGGACTGTACTGTATGTACCTATTAATGTTTTGAATTCATAACATTGCATAACAGACAACACTATATACAATGACCTTATAAGACAATACTATAAGAAAAAAAAAAGATCGGATACCACTGTTCATCACAAAACATCCACAGTTTGTGTGTAGTCAACAACCAATATTTGAGTTTCTTTATTTTAAGGCTATCACTGTGCTGTGTGTAATAAATTGTCCAATACAAACATCACTTGTTTTCTTTTTCAGCCTTCCATAGCACTTCTAAAACTTCCTAGCCTTCATTTTCTCTTTTTTAATGAATTTTCTTATCCATTAAGATACTATTTTCCACTTTATTCATTAATGTGTCTGCTGTTTGGAATTTTAGTCACAAATTTAAGTTTTACTTTTCTTTCGCTAACAACTTTACTCCACTATTTTATACCATCCAGCTGCAACTTTTAAGTTTGTGTAAAGTTGTCAGTACTGGGTCATACCTAGAAACAGGTTTGATAAGTATGATGTGTTCTGGTGTTTGAAGAATATACGTTATGCTTGGAATTGTATTAAATGTCTCCGCATTTTTCTACTGGTTCAGCATTTCATTAACTTCCAACTGGTGTATTCTATGTTGAATAAGACGAGTGTATCCCTTAAGGGCGTATTGACAACCTCAGCCACCTCAAGGGCACTAGAATTTAAAAAGAAATTCCTATCTGTTAACATGGGGACCAATTTTTCACGCTATTTTTACTTTATAACTCAGCCAGGAATTGTCAGATTTTTGGTGAAACTTGATGGACATATGTAGAATATTATTCATCATTGCCCTGCCAAAAATGGTACGTGTTCGTTGATAACGACAGACATACGAACACATATTAGTGTTTTTCTATAGCCGATTATGAACAACGCTACGTGGTAGAGGTATGCGCTCTACTGAGACGTTTTGAGTGCAACCGGTTATATCTAAGTTCTAAACCATTACTCCATTGTTCTTAACAGTTTAATCAGTTTGTGCAACATCAGTTTATGTTGGAATTGATAATGATGCTCTGAAAACGCTTGTTAAGTCTAACCCAAGGCAACACACTCGTGAAATTGCATGTTTCTCATGAAACATCTAAGGAATTTGGGAAACTCCATAAAGAATGTGTTTGGGTGCCTCACGAACTCTCCGACAATTATTGTTTCCAACGTGTGAACGTTGCTTCATCTCTTCTGGCGTGTGAACCATTTTTGGATAGAATTGTCACCGGTGCTGAAAAATGGATCCTCTATGCGAATATTAAACGCCAAAAACAATGGCTTAGTCCTAGACGAAAATCACTTCCGACCCCAAAACTTGGACTCCATCCGCAGAAAGTATGCTTTGCATTTGGTGGACATCAAAAGAGTAACTGACTTCGAACTCCTCAATCCACAGCGAACTGTCAATATAGAGTCAGCAACTGGAACGTTTAAATCAAGCCCTTCACTCGTCAATCGGAAAGGTGTTCTTTTTCTCCACGACAATGCACGTCCACATGTGGCACGTGTGATGCAACACAAGATTATGGAGTTGGGTTGGGAAGTTCTCCCCCACCCTCCATATTCTCCAGTTATGGCACCATCAGATTACCATCTTTTTCGTTCGCTGCAACACCATCCTAATGAAAAAACGTATGCAAGTGTGGAAGGTGTTAAAGAAGACATCGGCATGTTTTTTGCTTCAAAGCCAAATGGTTTCTTTAATCAGAGAATTAACAACCTGATAAGATGGAAAAGCATCATCGATAAGAATATAGACTATTTCATTTCATAAATGTTTTGTTTGATATATAAGTTGTTCGGATTTTTTTTGTCATTTAAAAAAAAGCGACATTAATTTCTTGACGAACTAATATTTTCAAAACTTGGCCTCGTTAACTCTTCATTTTAGGTAAAGAAGTATCATTCATCTATCCTGTTATTGTTATTATGTAGTTGACGTGTTGTAACGTACTTTCCTTTGCTTTCACTCAAGAGTTCTTAAAATAACTGCTTTGATTTTCTCGTTGACACAAGTAAAAATTCTAATAAAATAATGTGTTCTTAATTATTGCTAAATAATATGATTTGTAAAATGCTTAGATAAATTTGATAATAATTACAATTCGCTTGCATTATCTGAACAGTTGTAGTTCATGAAAAGTAGTGATATGTATGAATATATAGCGCCTAGACTCTTACTATGTTGTATCCCAGCCGGCTTGATTGTTATAAGGTAAAAGGCCTCATGTCTCATTGGGTGTGACTGATGTTGTGTAGGTGACATGTAACATAATCACCTTTGCTTTCACTTGTGGGTTCTTAGAATTCTTGTTATACCATATAGAGTTTAACAGGCTTGGGTATTTGGAACATAAGTACCAGGTTATAGCAAATCTAATAATTCAGTCAAACCTGAATAAAGATAGAAATTATTCAGTAAAAAGTTTTGTTTCGCCTGAACCCGTGACAACTGAATATATTTAGTTTTTCGGACTGTGCAATACGTTCTAGACTATGAATGTATATTGTACTCTATATGTCATAAAAACAACTAAAATGGTAATATTTTTTCTTTTACCGTGGGTTTTCTAATACTATAACTTAAAGAGTAGGTCCTTCTGTATTTCAAATAATACACAAGTAAGCCAGTAAGAATAAAAAAAATGGAGGGGATAACTTTTTGCTTTGAACATCAGCAGTATTTGAGACACTACACAAGTATTTACACTCCTAACAAATTTATCACAGAACATAACTTTAAACTGAGCGTAAGAGGTCCAATTAGTTACTTTCAATTTCGTCAGAAGGTAATACTTAAAATGTTTTTCAAAATTTCATTATTGAAGTTATATGTCAAAAAAATGTATTAATAATTTCAAATTGTATTTTAGAAGCCAGTCGTTTATAATTAAGTCTATGTAGTTAAAATTTAATCATTAATTCACAAAACAAATTATGTACTTAGCATTTCAGTTTAATTACTGGTGATAAGTATTTTTATATGGCACAGTTTTTACAGTAGGTTTTGGGGTAGAAATTTTACTTATTTGAATAAGCCGACAAAATATACATTTTTTAAAATCAAAAATATATTTAATGTCACAAAATTGAATACAGTAAAACAGAATGAGTAAAAACTGATCAAATCATAGTGGTAAAATGTATTATTTCAGATCATTTGGTAAAAATAGCGCCAAGTTCAGTTCACGTAACTAACGAATCAATTTATTTCTTCTATAATGACTTCTATAGGCTACGTTTCATGTCTGCGGACTTACAACGCTAGAAACCGTGTTTCAATACCCGTGGTGGGCAGAGCACAGATAGTCCATTGTGTATCTTTATGCTTAACGTCAAACAAACAAACCGAAATTTCGAGACTAAGGGTGCACCTAAAT